ACCACCCACTCACTCACCACCCCACCCACCCACTCACTCACTCACCCCCCCACTCACTCACTCCCTCACCACCCACCCACTCACTCACCATCCACCCACTCATTCACTCCCTCACCACCCACCCACCCACCCACTCCCTCACCACCCACCCCCTCACTCACTCCCTCACCACCCACCCACCCACTCCCTCACCACTCACCACCCACCCCACTCCCTCACCACCCACCCACTCACTCACTCACTTACCCACCCACACACTCACCCACCCAGTCACTCACTCCCTACCACCCACCCACCCACTCACTCCCTCACCACCCACCCACCCACCCACTCACTCACCACCCAACCCACTCACTCACCCACCCACCCACTCCCTCACCACCCACCCACCCACCCACACCACCCACCCCACTCACCACCCACCCACCCACTCCCTCACCACGCACCCCACCCCCACGTGTTCATCTGGGTCACTTGTGTAGGTCCGTGCGATCGGTGCAATTGGGTTGCAGCGTCCCGGCTCGCCGCTGCGGTTGCTCCCCGTCCCCTCCGTTGCACCGCTGCTTGCCCCGAATTTGCATTTAAAGTGTCACGCGGATTGTACCGTGGGCTCAACGCGCTCGTTCGCTCGCTCGCTCGTTCGCTCGTTCGCTCGCTCTCACGCTCTCACGCTCTCACGCGCTCGGAGTGGGGTGGATGGGGTGGTGCTCATCAAATCTTGATTTCTCATCATTCCCACCATCAGTTGTTGCCCGTGACGGTGGTCGTGGTGGTGGTGGTGGTGGTCGTGGTGGTGGTGGTCGTGGTGGTCGTGGTGGTGGTGGTCGTGTTGGTCGTGGTGGTCGTGGTGGTCGCGGTGATGGACGTGGTTATGGAGATGGTGGTCGTGTTCATGGTGATGGTGGTCGTGTAGGTGGTTATGGTGGTGGTGGTGGTGGTGGTCGTGGTGGTGGTTGTGGTCGTGTTGGTCGTGGTGGTCGTGACGTGGGTGGTGGTGGTCGTGGTGGTGGTCGTGTTGGTCGTGGTGATGGACGTGGTTGATGGTGATGGTGGTCGTGTTGATGGTGATGGTGGTCGTGTAGGTGGTTATGGTGGTGGTCGTGGTGGTGATGGTGGGCGTGGTGGTGGTGGTGGTGGTCGTGGTGGTGGTAGTGGTCGAGGTGGTGGTGGTGTTGGTGGTGGTGGTAGTGGTCGAGGTGGTGGTGGTCATGGTGGTGGTCGCGGTGGTCGTGGTGGTGGGTGTGGTCGTGGTGATGATGATCGTGGTGGTGGTGGTCGTGTTGGTCGTGGTGGTGGTCGTGGAGGTAGTTATGTTGTTGTTGTTGTTGGTGGTGGTGGTGGTGGTCGTGGTGGTGGTGGTCGTGGTGGTGGTGGTCGTGGAGGTAGTTATGTTGATGTTGTTGTTGGTGGTGGTCGTGGTGGTGGTGGTCGTGGTGGTGGTGGTCGTGGAGGTAGTTATGTTGTTGGTGGTGGTGGTCGTGTTGGTGGTGATGGACATGGTGGTGGTAGTCGTGGTGGTGGTGGTGATGATCGTGGTGGTGATGATCGTGGTGGTGGTGGTCGTGGTGGTGGTGGTCGTGGAGGTAGTTATGTTGTTGTTGGTGGTGGTGGTGGTCGTGTTGGTGGTGATGGACATGGTGGTGGTAGTCGTGGTGGTGGTGGTGATGATCGTGGTGGTGATGATCGTGGTGGTGATGATCGTGGTGGTGGTGATCGTGGTGGTGGTGGTCGTGGAGGTAGTTATGTTGTTGGTGGTGGTGGTGGTCGTGTTGGTGGTGATGGACATGGTGGTGGTAGTCGTGGTGGTGGTGGTGGTGGTGATGATCGTGGTGGTGATGATCGTGGTGGTGGTGGTCGTGGTGGTGGTGGTCGTGGAGGTAGTTATGTTGCTGTTGTTGTTGGTGGTGGTGGTGTTCGTGTTGGTGGTAGAAACTTGGGAAAAACCACCCACCCCACCCACCCCACCCACCCCACCGCCACTCCACCGCCACCCCACCGCCACTCCACCGCCACTCCACCGGGTCGGCTTTTGGGAATATTCTGGGACAATCAGGGAAGTCCGCAACAGCGGCGCGGAGAAAATCTCCGGCAGACGCGGGGATGGCAGACCGTGCCCCTCGGCACGCGGTTAACGGCATCGTGACCAGCGGCGTGGTAACGACGTCACCGGGTATTCAATTGCGGTTTCATTTTTTTGTGGTTCCATTTTCTTATCCTTTTGCCAGCTGGCAAAAGGCCCAACGGCTGAGCTGGCACGTGGCTCGGTGTCAGCCGCGACCCTGGCCCAGGGCAGCTCGTCATCGTCGTCATCGTCGTCGTCGTTGTCATCATCGTCGTCATCGTCGTCATCGACGTCATCGTCGTCATCGTCGTCGTCATCATCGTCGTCATCGTCGTCGTCGGCGCCGTCGTCGTCGTCATTGACGTCATCGTCGTCGTCATCATCATCATCGTCGTCGTCGTCGTCATCGTCGTCGTCATCGTCGTCATCGTCGTCGTCGGCGCCGTCGTCGTCGTCATTGACGTCATCGTCGTCATCATCGTCATCATCGTCGTCGTCGTCGTCATCGTCGTCGTCATCGTCGTCATCGTCGTCGTCGGCGCCGTCGTCGTCGTCATTGACGTCATCGTCGTCGTCATCGTCGTCATCGTCGTCGTCGTCGGCGCCGTCATCATCATCATCGTCGTCGTCGGCGCCGTCGTCATCGTCGGCGTCTTCGTCGTCATCGTCGTCGTCATCGTCGTCGTCATCATCATCGTCGGCGTATTCGTCGTCATCATCATCGTCATCATCGTCATCATCGTCGTCATCGTCGTCGTCGGCGCCGTCGTCGTCGTCATCATCGACATCATCATCGTCGTCGTCGTCATCGTCGTCGTCATCGTCGTCATCGTCGTCGTCATCATCATCGTCGTCATCGTCGTCATCATCATCGTCATCGTCATCATCGTCATCGTCGTCATCATCATCGTCGTCATCGTCATCATCATCGTCGTCATCATCATCATCGTCGTCATCATCGTCATCATCGTCATCATCGTCGTCATCGTCAATATCGTCTGATGACGACCGTTTGTGTTATGGTCGAAACGTCGTGAGAAATTTTATTGTTTTGTATATATTTTATTATTTTATTCTTTCCCTTCAACGTGACTTTACCGAAAGAGCTAAGAATATAACATCATCGTCATCATCATCGCCATCGTCGTCGTCATCGTCATCATTGTCGTCGTCGCCATCGTCAACATCATCGTCATCATCATCATCATCGTCATCATCGTCATCATCGTCGTCATCATCATCGTCATCATCGTCGTTGTCATCATTGTCGTCGTCATCGTCATCGTTGTCATCATCGTCGTAATCGTCATCATCGTCATCATCGTCGACATCATCGCCGTCGTCATCATCGTCATCGTCATCATCGTCGACATCATCATCATCATCGTCATCATCGTCATCATCGTCATCGTCGTCATCGTCATCATCGTCGTCATCATCGTCGTCATCGTCATCATCGTCGTCACCAAGCGGAAGTTTGTAGCGGTAGTCAAATCCTCTAAGACGCATGGCGTTGTTGGTAAGTGGGTGGGTGAGTGGGTGGGTGAGTGAGTGGGAGAGTGGGAGAGTGAGTGGGTGAGTGAGTGGGAGAGTGAGTGGGTGGGTGAGTGGGAGAGTGAGTGGGAGAGTGAGTGGGTGGGAGAAATGGTGGGAGAGATGGTGGGTGAGTGGGTGAGTGGATTGGTGGGTGGGTGAGTGGGTGGGTGGGTAAGTGGGTGGGTGGGAGAAATGGTGGGAGAGATGGTGGGTGAGTGGGTGGGTGGGAGAGATGGTGGGTGAGTGGGTGAGTGGGTGGGTGGGTGGGTGAGTGGGTGGGTGAGTGGGTGGGTGGTAGAAATGGTGGGAGAGATGGTGGGTGAGTGGGAGAGATGGTGGGTGAGTGGGAGAGATGGTGGGTGAGTGGGAGAGATGGTGGGTGGGTGGGTGAGTGGGTGAGTGGGTGGGTGGGAGAAATGGTGGGAGAGATGGTGGGTGAGTGGGTGGGTGGGTGAGTGGGTGGGTGAGTGGGTGGGTGGGTGAGTGGATGGGTGGATGAGTGAGTGAGTGGGTCGGTGGGAGAAATGGTGAGAGAGATGGTGGGTGAGTGGGTAGGTGGGTGAGTGGGTGGGTGAGTGGGAGAGTGAGTGGGAGAGTGAGTAGGTGAGAGAAATGCTGGTAGAGATGGTGGGTGAGTGGGTGTGTGGGTGGGTGTGTGGGTGAGTGGGTGGGCGAGTGAATGGGTGGGTGGTTCAGTTTGCGTACGAACTCCCAGCGCGGAACCGCACTCGCCGGAGCAAAACCTGCCCGATGCATTGATGTGGCGATGACTTGCGTCACCACCACCACAACCACCACCACTATCACCACAACCACCACCACTACCACAGCCATCACCACCACGAACACCGCACCCACCAACACAGACCACCACAACCATTCTCGCCCTCCTCCACTACGTCCCACACCTGCGGCGTGGTTACCACCGCCACCACCACCGCCACCACCACCGCCACCACCGCCACCACCACCACCACCGCCACCACCACCACCACCACCACCGCCACCACCACCACCACCACCGCCACCACCACCACCACCGCCACCACCACCACCACCGCCACCGCCACCACCGCCACCACCACCGCCACCACCACCGCCACCACCGCCACCACCGCCACCGCCACCGCCACCACCACCACCACCGCCACCACCGCCACCACCGCCACCACCGCCACCGCCACCACCACCACCACCGCCACCACCACCACCACCACCGCCACCGCCACCACCACCGCCACCACCACCACCACCACCGCCACCACCGCCGCCACCACCACCGCCACCACCACCACCACCACCACCACCGCCACCGCCACCACCACCGCCACCACCACCACCACCGCCACCACCACCACCGCCACCACCGCCACCACCACCACCACCACCACCGCCCGCTCACCTGCGGCGTGCCGCTCGCCTGCACCGGCTGCTGCTGGAGCCCCACCAGGACGCGGAAGAGAGGGCTCGGCGCAGCGGCGCCATCCGCACCGCCGGCGACGCCGGCAACGCCGGCAACGCCGGTGCCGGCGACGCCGAGGGCCCGGGCGAGCGCCTGCAGGGAGCGCCGCACGTTGACGCGAAGAGCCTCCTGCACACGCCGCTCCACGCGCTCCATGTGCTGCGCCCAGCACTGCTGCACCTGCGCAGAAAGGTGGTTGGTGGTGGTTGGTGGTGGTTGTGGTTGTGGTTGGTGTCATTGTTGTGGTTGTTGTTGTTGATTGCGTTTCATCGCCATCGCAAGCTCTTTTTGTCAGAAGCTACCACCCGGCCATCACAATCGACTGGCGGCGTATCGTCACCATCGTCACCATCACGTTGGAGGTTCATAGCGGTTAGCCAAAATACTCTAAAAGCGCATAGAGACACAGAGGTCCATAGAGATGCATAGAGACCCATAGAGACACAGAGAGACGCATAGAGATACATAGAGATGAATAGAGACCCATAGAGACGCATAGATACCCATAGAGACACATAGAGACCCATAGAGACACATAGAGATGCATAGAGATGCATAAAGACCCATAGAGACACATAGAGACCCATAGAGACACAGAGACCCATAGAGATGCATAGAGATGCACAGAGACCCATAGAGACACATAGATACCCATAGAGACACATAGAGACGCATAGAGACACATAGAGACGCATAGAGACACATAGATACACATAGAGATGCATAGAGGCCCATAGAGACACATAGAGACGCATAGAGACACATAGATACACATAGAGATGCATAGAGGCCCATAGAGACACATGGAGACCCATAGAGACACATAGAGACCCATAGAGACACATAGAGACCCATAGAGACACATAGAGACCCATAGAGACCCATAGAGACACATAGAGACCCATAGAGACCCATAGAGACACATAGAGACCCATAGAGACCCATAGAGACCCATAGAGATGCATAGAGATGCATAGAGACCCATAGACACACATGGAGACCCATAGAGATGCATAGAGACCCATAGAGACACATAGAGACCCATAGAGACCCATAGAGACACATAGAGACGCATAGAGATGCATAGAGGCCCATAGAGATACAGGGACTCGTAGACTAAAATTAAACGTTTTATTATTTGACCAGGAAATGTCCCTGCTGAGCTGCTATGTAGATCTTCTTGTCAGAAGCCAGCCTGCCCATCGCAAGCCTCAGCAGCTCAACGTAGCGGCAGATTATCATCATCATCATCAGCATCACCACCATCACGTGGACATTCATAGCAACCAGCCAAATATTTTGATTTAAAGCTTTCGTGACTGCAGGGATTCATATTCTTGGTTCTTTCGGTAAAGTCACCACGTAGAAGGGAAACAATAAAATAATAAAAAAATATAAAAAACAACAAAATTCTCACGACCTTTCGACTGCAACACAAGCAATCATCATCAGGTGTGAAAACCACGACAAGAAAATTTGAAATTTGAATTTTTTGTTACATTTTTATTATTACATTGTTTCCCTTCTACGTGACTTTACCGAAAGAACCAAGAATATAACCAGCCGAAAACCCTAAGCGCGTGGTGACGTTGATTCGAAATGTGGAGGTGAAAACCGGAGGACCCCAGCGAAAAATCCACGCGACCCCCAGGGGGAGAGAGACAGAGAGAGAGGGAGAGACGAACTCCAACCTTACAAAAGTTATCAGGGTCGGGATCGAACGACACGACCTCCTGCATGTACTGAACTTTTTCGCACCGTACGTAGTGGACCCTGATAATTAGATGTGCGTGGCGGGGGAGGGTCTCTATGTGAGTCTGTGGGTCTCTGTGTGAGTCTGTGGGTCTCTGTGTGAGTCTGTGGGTCACTGTGTGAGTCTGTGGGTCTCTGTGTGTGAGTCTGTGGATGTCTGTGTGAGTCTGTGGGTGTCTGTGTGAATCTATGGGTGTCTGTGCGTGGTGTGTAGTGTATAGTGTAGTGTGTGGTGTAGTGTATAGTGCAGTGTGGTGTAGTGTATAGTGTAGTGTAGTGTGTGGTGTGTGGTGTAGTGTATAGTGCAGTGTATAGTGTATGGTATAGTGCAGTGTATAGTGCAGTGTATAGTGCAGTGTATAGTGTAGTGTGTGGTGTAGTGTATAGTGTAGTGTATAGTGTAGTGTGTAGTGTAGTGTATAGTGTAGTGTACAGCGTGGTGTAGAGTGTAGTGTATAGTGTAGTGTATAGTGTAGTGTGTGGTGTAGTGTATAGTGTAGTGTATAGTGTAGTGTCTAGTGTAGTGTATAGTGTAGTGTATAGTGTATTGTATAGTGTAGTGTATAGTGCAGTGTATAGTGTATTGTATAGTGTAGTGTATAGTGTATTGTATAGTGTAGTGTATAGTGCAGTGTATAGTGTATTGTATAGTGTAGTGTATAGTGTAGTGTATAGTGTAGTGTATAGTGTAGTGTATAGTGTAGTGTATAGTGTAGTGTACAGCGTGGTGTAGAGTGTGGTGTATAGTGTAGTGTATAGTGTATAGTGTAGTGTACAGCGTGGTGTACAGCGTGGTGTATAGTGTAGTGTACAGCGTGGTGTACAGCGTGGTGTATAGTGTAGTGTACAGCGTGGTGTACAGCGTGGTGTATAGTGTAGTGTGTAGTGTAGTGTACAGCGTGGTGATATAGTGCAGCGCACAGTGTCCTATACAAGTACAGCACGCCGGTTGTGTGCCGGGAAGCAAATCCACAGCACGTGCACACAGGGCCACGCTGCATTTAGCCAGACGTGGGCTCGAAGACCCCCCCTCCCCACTCCCGCTCAAAATCCCCCACGCAACTTCCCCTGGGAGGTGTTAAGTGGATCCACGACGTCGATAAGGGGCCCACAGTCGTGCCCCACCAGCCCCCTCGCCCACGTAATTCACCTAATGGCTACGTTGCAAGCTATCGCAGAGGCCTGATCCTAATCCTCCCACCACTTCGCTCTGACCCACGTGATCTGATTAGCCGCATTAAGTGTTCGTCAAGGAACCGCGCTTATCCTGCCTCCGTGAGCCACTCGACCCACCGCCACCGCTACCCCCTCTCTGATCGCACAACCACACAACCAGAAACTCACAACCGCAAACTCACCCGGCGCCATCCATCCGCCCGCCCGACCGCTCACCAACACCGTCAGTGTGAGAAGCATCTGTCAATGACCGGACCTCCACCACCACCATCACTATCACCGCATCCACCACCACCACTATCACCACATCCACCATCACTATCATCACCTCCATAAGCAACCACACCACCACTATCATCACCTCCACCACCACCACCACTATCATCACCTCCATAACCACCACCACTATCACCACCTCTACCACCAACTCCACTACCACCTCCACCATCAATATCACCACCTCCATAACCACCACCTCCATCACCACCACCACCACCACTATCACCACCTCCACCACCAACTCCACCACCTCCACCATCAATATCACCACCTCCATAACCACCACCTCCATCACCACCACCACCACTATCACCACCTCCACCACCAACTCCACCACCTCCACCATCAATATCACCACCTCCATAACCACCACCTCCATCAGCACCACCACCACCAACTCCACTACCACCTACACCTTCACTATCACCACCTCTACCACCTCCATCAGCACCACCTCAATCACCACGTCCACCACCACTACCTCCATCACTACCACCAGCACCTCCATCACCATCTCAACCACCTCCTACACCACCACCACCACCTCCATCACCACCACCATCACTTCCACCACCACCAAAGACAAAGATCCCCCGTGTAGCCTGAACAGACTGTAGGCAAGTGCTGTGATCAAACAGCACCAACGAAGGCCCGCATGACACACGAGGGTGGCGCGTGTGGCCATCTTACAGACTCACACAGACACCCACAGACTCACACAGACACCCACAGACTCACAGAGACACCCATAGACTTACACAGACACCCACAGACTCACACAGACACCCACAGACTCACACAGACACCAACAGACTCACACAGACACCCACAAACTCACATTGACACCCACAGAATCACACAGACACCCACAGACTCACATAGACACCCATAGACTCACACAGACACCCACAGACTCACACAGACACCCACAGACTCACACAGACACCCACAGACTCACACAGACACCCACAGACTCACACAGACACCCACAGACTCACACAGACACCCACAAACTCACATTGACACCCACAGACTCACATTGACACCCATAGACTCACACAGACACCCACAGACTCACACAGACACCCACAGACTCACACAGACACCCATAGACTCACACAGACACCCACAGACTCACACAGACACCCACAGACTCACACAGACACCCATAGGCTCACACAGACACCCATAGACTCACACAGACACCCACAGACTCACACAGACACCCACAGACCCACACAGAAACCCATAGACTCACACAGACACCCATAGGCGCACACAGACACCCACAGACTCACACAGATACCCATAGACTCACACAGACACCCACAGATTCACACAGATACCCACAGACTCACACAGACACCTACAGAATCACACAGACATCCACAGACTCACACAGACACCCACAGACTCACACAGACACCCACAGACACACATTGACACCCAAAGACTCACACAGACCCCCATAGACTCACACAGACACCCACAGATTCACACAGATACCCACAGACTCACACAGACACCTACAGACTCACACAGACACCCACAGACTCACACAGACACACACAGACTCACACAGACACCCACAGACTCACACAGACACCCACAGACTCACACAGACACCCACAGACTCACACAGACACCCACAGACTCACACAGACACCCGTAGGCTCACACAGACACCCACAGACTAACACAGACACCCATAGACTCACACAGACACCCATAAACTCACACACACACTGTGAACACACACACACACTGTGAACACACACACTATGAACACACACACACTGTGAACACACACACACACTATGAACACACACACACACTGTGAACACACACACACACTATGAACACACACACTATGAACACACACACTGTGAACATACACACACACACACACACTGTGAACACACACACACACTGTGAACACACACATGCACTATGAACACACACACTATGAACAC